TTTTTGCCCCGCGCTTTTAACGTTGTGTTTTGCATGTCATTGTAAGGCTTATTTAGACGTTTATTTTAAAACATTTGTAAAAAAAGAAAAAAAACACAATTAATGTTATACAAGTTCTGTATTGGATGAGCAATAGGGATCGCAAGCAAAACAAACAATAATGACACCGTTTTAGCGGAATTTGAATAAAGCCATTACTTGAAAATGATTCACTTGTCAATAAAATCTTGGCTAAAGGAACCGTACAGTTACAATAGGATAAAATAAAATGCATTTGTTTTATGAATTAACGTTTACGATTGTATCTTTCTTTTACAGATCTACAGGAATAATGGATTTGATAGACACGCAAACATTTGGCTTTACTATTGCTTTTCTCGTCGCTTTTGTCGGATTGGTCATAGCATGCACGAAATGTTTTCCAAACGGTAATTTTTTTTCTTATATATTTATGCGTATCAGTTTGACAATAGGGGACATCCGTGGTCGAGTGGATAGGGTCGTTGGCATCAAACACTTGCCCAACTACATTGTGGTTTGAAACCCACTAAGGATGTGAGGATTTAATATCTATTTCATGTATTGAATCTATCCAGCTAGTTTACGAACCACACTGATGCTATCCACTTGCCTAAAACAATACAAGGTGGGGTATTTAAGGTCTCCTGCAATCAATTTAGCTTGAAACTTGCCACATGAACTATATAGTTATTGAAGAAATATAGCCAAACAAAAAAGAGTACCGCTTCATTCACCCTAAAGCACATTTGTTTGAGTACTCAATTAGGGGAGAGACCCAATCAAGAAACTTATCTAATGATGAATATCAGGCTTTGCAAAGATATACAATAAACATAATTTGGGAATAAGGAAGTAACGACAATAATTATTATTCTCAGGTTAACACGATAATATTAGTTCATTATAAACAAATTTTAAGTGTCTGATCACAACAAAAGGCATGTTCTTAAAACATTATTTTCGGAATCCAGTACCCTCTTTCCGATGTGGAGACAAATACAGGTAAACTAATGACGGTATTACATTAAATATATAAATATTTCACGGTTATTAGTTTTTTGGTTTTATTTTATTTGGGCCATTTACTTTCAATGAGAATATAATTTTGAATTAGGACCACAAATGGACAAGTGCATGTTACTGATCAGAACTTTTCACTATTTAGAGAATATGTTTAAGCGGCCGGATAGCTCATTCAGTAGAGAAGTAGAATAGTATTCCAAGTTCTATTTTCAAGTCGTGGTCGAGTCCAGGTCAGGCTGCGCGGTTTTTATATACTTGTGACATTTGGTGCCAAAAGTGGGTAACCGAGAGAAATTCCAGCGTAGCGGGGGAGAATTACACTATTCAGAACTTCTCACGTTTTATTGTAAGACGCCGGATAGCTCAGTCGGTATGGCCACGAAACGGTATCCGATGGTCCCGGGCTCGAATCCAGGTCAGGCTGCACATCTTTCTGACCCTATGACATAAAAAACTACATGCGCATTGATTAGTATTCTCTTCGACTCTTGCTACTATTCACAGAGGTGATCAAAAAGAGGTTTATGTTGACTTATTTCATCACACATCAATTGCTTGATTAAATAATGTTTTGAGAGCTTATTTTTGTTAATTTTCTTTATTCTAGTGCTGACTTTTACATATTTCAACCCCCGACAACAAACATTTCTAAAAATAGATTGCATTGAATGACAATGCATGAATTAAAAAGAACTGTATAAGGGTCCAATAGCTTTTCAGTTTTGTTCAATACTAGTTCATACTTAACAAAAATAACTTAAATTTGTAAAACTTACTGTTCAATTTTGCGCTAAATTATGTTTACCGGAAATCAACAGATCTTTTTAATCGATGCACATTTCGATGAATCATATGAAGTTGGTCCCTCGTGAATAATATCCGGACTGCAGGAATACCCATTGAGTTATACATAATTTGCTTGGATAACACATGATTAAGTAATGGAAGAAGACCCGACCTGATTTTGGTCGAGTTGTGTTGGGGCTTCCTTTAGTGAAACTGTTAATAGCAACAGCAGTGGAATTTTTTTTAAGTTTTGAAAGGGATTCAATAATAAGACCGATTAAATTATTCCAGGAGTCAGTAGGTTCGATTGATTGGGAACAATACTTATTGGATTTGTATGTCCGCAAAATACACCTTGATTCATTATACGTTAAAAACTCTGTATTATGATGTGTTCCGTTTTCCAGAGGTTATATACATTTATTTGTAATTATGATGTGTTTGAACATTTACTTTGTTTAAATATTTTTGTATTTACTTTTCAGCCCTTTTTATAGGTCATATTTTTATTGCTTTTTTTGCAATAAATGTCTTGAGTTATTATTTTTTGCTAATGCATAAATATAATATTAAAGAAAAATTAGAAATTAAAACAGCACATTATCTGAAATAGACTTTGCTATTGAATATATGGACTGAAGAGACAACATATCTCTATTTGCCTACCGCTACGTCAATGAACTCAGAAAACGTATTACAGTGACTTTTCAGGTGTTCATACAAATACTTCATTACCCGTAACAGTTTTCCAGATATTCCAAGGTTAAACATTTTGTACCATACCGCGTTCATATAAACGCTGTTAAAACATGTGCTCATATCAATGAAGGCAGTATGCAAACGAGAGACATTTCAAAGAACTTTAAATCCGTTTAAACAAATAAATATATATATATAGCATGGACTTTGGAAAAACATGTTTTTAAATCCAAACGGAGGGTCAGAAATGATATTATTTTTTATACTATTGGGTTAAATGAATTAACAGAGATGTAAACAGTTTTGCTAGAACACTCATCAATGTTATTCCGTTTTTTTAAATAAAGGGATAATCATACCTTCCGTTCATTTATCCGGGGAAAAAACGGTATCGAAGATAAGATTAAAAAGATCTGTTAAATGGCAGATTAATATATCCCCAGATTAAATGAACAATTATCAGTAGAGCCTGCCTTTCACGTTTTAAAGTTTTCAATGCCGCTAAAACCTCTGTCTCTGATATAGTGTTACCAAGCTCTGGGAAAATAGAATTATCCGAATTAATGTCTTCCGGCGCAGACTGTTCGCTTTCAACACCATTTATGATATTTATTTCATTCCTCAAGTTTTGAAAACACTGGTATAAATCACTGGTAGACAAGACATTTCCGCAAACCCATTCTTTTCTTTTTTAAGTACTTCCAAGTCACGAAGCTTTTTCTCTAGTGCTTTTAAATGTATATTCCGTTAATTCCCATATTAATTATCGAACCATTCGATGACTCTAAATAAAGATTTTGTGCAAATTTGTGTTTCACCTTGTTACGATAAAAACGTGCTTCGTACAACGGCGCCGACGCACTATTTATCATTAAATGTAAATTCTGTGGCAGTTTCATTTACATGGGTTTTATCATTTCTGGTATTTTTTTCACATATGGCGTTAAACTGTTGAGGTGAAATATAATATTGTTTCTAAATAAATCCCGTTTTGGAGAATTCCACTTAATTCTAGAGTGACTATATACAGACTGTCAAGTTGTTCCTACTTTCTCCTACTTAAATAAGTGTCCCTTCTTTTTCCTACTTTAATCCCACTTTGTTTTCAATTCCTACTTCTTAAGCACTCAAAAAATTCTCAAACATAATTGTACTTATAAATCTGTGTTAAGTATCAATTCAGGATAGATTTCATTTGTGTAGCACAAGACACACGCTGGCTGTCCCACATGCTATTTCAGATTATCTGTGACAAACAGATGGGTTTTATGAATGGATGCTTAGTGAATAGAGTCTGTTTTTATTGACCCGTTAGTTATGAATACATTATAGCACTCATTTAAATATTAGATCCCACTTCGGTAATGTCCGTCATATTGTTTAAGAGAATTAATATGAAATATATATAACTAAAGTTTAGTAAAGTCACACTAGCTTGTATGGGTTCTCGTCACATCCACGGTAACAATTTATTTTTGATGCATATCTTAATGAAAATGGCCAAGTGCTTGCAAAATTGTCTACACTGATATGGAACAACTTAGAAACACTGATTTGTTTCGTTTTGCATAGTCTTTTACAGCACTGAAATGACATTTATTGATTTCAATTCAGAATGAAATCTGAATATTAATTCTTTAATCATGTTATTCAAAAGAATATAGCCTTTACCAAAATAAGTGAGTGCAAAACATAATAAAAAATCCAAAAAAATCATAGCTTCAATAATGTTGAAAATAGTTATAAATAAGAAAAAATAAGGATCTTAAGACACATAGGACATTAAGAAATAATTATAACGGTAGTTTACTCTTTTGTGCCATAAAGGTCAGTAAGTTATTCCAAAGACAAAAATCATAATTAATCGCATCTTACTGCTTGCATCTCATTTTTTCGAAGATTGATAAATTGTGTGCATTGACCATGTAATCAGTATGCAGTTGTTAGGTTAATAAAATCAAAGAATACAAATCATTATGTATTTAATTTGTTAAGACAGCTATATATTCTTACTTTTTGGTAAATGTTACTATTTTTTGTACCAATTACCTATTTTTTGGCAAAAAAAAAAATGTTCCTACTTTTTTTTCCTACTTTCTGGTGTGGGACCACTTGACAACCTGTATATACATTTTAAACTTCGGGTTCCTTATACGCATTTGCCATGATGCTGAACTGTAACATAACATGGTCTGAACACATCGTAAAATGGATTGTATCGAAAGTACTTATACTCCACAAATTAGCCTGTTTACGCAATACATGAGTTATTTTTTAACAACCGTAATGTGTGTAATAACCCGTATCTAAACGCCCATCCCAAATATGAAGCATACGCAGAATACATAAGTAGTCATAGAAAACCGTCCAGTTTTCGGATTTCAGAGGTTCCGGTTTTTAGAGGATATTTTGTATGAACTTATTGGAAAAATATTGGTCCGGTTGTCAGACGATTCAGGTTTTCAGAGGGTCCGGTTTTCATGTTTTTACAGTAAAATTATTCTGAGAGGTAGAAATGAATGCTTTTTAACCAAAATATTTTTATTTATTTATATTCAGAGAATATAAGGCGATCGACTCAAAAGACGAAAGGACCTGTCAGTTTGAGGATCATGACCAACCGTCGCTACGTAATAGGCGGCCAACAACTATACCAAGGGAAGCCACATCGATAATGTCTTCGGTTGGTACACCTCTACCTAGGCCACCTTCATCTACGTCAGCAGCACCCAGACCTGCTCCTATGCCACATACACCCACAGCAATAGCCCCTTCACCCAAGACAATAGATCCTTCACCCACGACAATAGCACCAACAACCCCGATAAGGGGACCTACACCGACGCCAAAGACTCCTACACTTCCGGCTATGCCACCTACATCCGTGTCAAGAGCACCTACATCACCTCCGGCTACGCCACCTACATCCGTGCCAAGAGCACCTACATCCCCGGCTACGCCACCAACATCCGCGCCAAGAGCACCTACACCTCCGGCTACGCCACCTGCATCCAAGCCAAGAGCACCTACACCTCCGGCTACGCCTACTACATCCACGTCAAGACCACCTACACCTCCGGCTACGCCACCTACATCCACGCCAAGAGCACCTACACCTCCGGCTACGCCACCTACATCCAAGCCAAGAGCACCTACACCTCCGGCTACGCCACCTACATCCAAGCCAAGAGCACCTACACCTCCGGCTACGCCTACTACATCCACGCCAAGAGCACCTACACCTCCGGCTACGCCACCTACATCCACGTCAAGAGCACCTACATCCACTCCAAGAGCACCTACACCTCCGGCTACGCCACCTACATCCATGCTAAGAGCACCTACACCTCCGGCTACGCCACCTACATCCAAGCCAAGAGCACCTACACCTCCGGCTACGCCACCTACATCCACGCCAAGAGCACCTACACCTCCGGCTACGCCACCTACATCCACGCCAAGAGCACCTACACCTCCGGCTACGCCACCTACATCCACGCCAAGAGCACCTACACCTCCGGCTACGCCACCTACATCCACGCCAAGAGCACCTACACCTCCGGCTACGCCACCTACATCCGAGCCAAGAGCTCCTTCACCTCCGGCTTCGCCTCCTACATCCACGCCAAGAGCACCTACACCTCCGGCTACGCCACCTACATCCACACAAAGAACACCTACATCTACACCAAGAGCTCCTACACCTCCGGGTACGCTACCTACAACCACGCCAAGAGCACCTACACCTCCGGCTACGCCATCTACATCCACGCCAAAAGCACCTACAACTCCGGATTTGCCACATATATCCACGCCAAGAGCTCCTACATCTGAGCCAAGAGCTCCTTCACCTCCGGCTACACCTTCTACATCCACGCCAAGAGAACCTACATCTTCAGCTACGCCACCTACATCCACGCAAAGAGCACCTACATCTACACCAAGAGCTCCTACACCTCCGGGTACGCTACCTACATCCAAGCCAAGAGCACCTACACCTCCGGCTACGCCACCTACATCTACGCCAAGAGCACTCACAACAACGCCAAGTTCTCCTACGCCTCCGGCTACGCCACCTACATCCACGCCAAGAGCACCTACACCCACGCAAAGGGCTCCTACACCCACGGCTATGCCACCTATATCCACGCAAAGAGCACCTACACCCACACCAAAGATTCCTACACCTCTGGCTACGCCACTTACACCCACACCAAGAGCGCCTACACGTCCGGCTAGGGCTCCTTCACCACCGCCTGTGACACCCATACAACAACAAGCGGACATGGCGCAGCAACTGGCAAAGGAACAAGGTAAGAGACAACCAAGACACAACTTAGTTTCTAAGCCATGTAACGGAGTATACTCTCAAACTATAAAAATACACAGTGTCAAAAAGTTGATCCGTCCATATTGATGCAAAGTAATAACAATAACGTCATTTCTCGAAAAACGGACAAAAATGTTATAAACGGGGAGCGTAAATTTATGTAATGACCACATTTAATACAAAGAAAAACTATACCTTTGAAGAATGGTCAGTTTGAAATAGTATATGTAAGCTCTGACCCAACAGAAATACAGGATATTTAGATAATGGTTAATTTACTAGGACTACATCTAAGCGTCACTTGTGTTTAGGGTGAAAAAGTTATGGCTCACAATATCAGATTAGGCAAGCGTAGAACTCAATCATCTCTTTCTTAGTTATAGCTATGATTGTTTTGTATGGGTCGGAGCACAATAACTATTTCTGAATACGAAATGATTCCAATTATAGATATTGTTCAATAGAAGTTTGCACCTATCGTCATTGCATTAATTGAAGCGAAAACCATCGAGTTCGATGGTAATTGAGACAGACATATAAGAAATATGAAAGTACAGGGTCCAACACAACCTTTATTGACCTTTAAAACAATGTTGCGCTTCTTAAGCCTCGACCAACAGTTGAATTGAATTGTTTCCCTTAATTTCGGAGGTTTTAAACCAAAAAACTGCCCGTTCAGTTTGCGTAAACATAAAATGTAAGTCTGATTTGCAGGCTTATAATAGATTGGATATTTTTGATCATCTATTAACTAAAATACATTGATTGATGTTCATTTGTGAAGATTCTGCTGGCGTATTTACGAAAATACGCTTCTTGTTTCAGACCATGTCAGACATGTCTCAATGAAACACAATTATCTACTTTTAATTGAGGAATAATAACTATTTCTAACAATGAGTCTCAGGTGTGATATCTAGGGCAAACAAGAACTTCTTTTGACAGGGATCATAGTTAGATATAAAACGATTTATTTCAGCATAAAATATTCATCAACATTGCAATGACAAATTTTACAACATACACAAAACTATTGACATACGTGTATGAATGAAAAACAAAGACCTGTCAATCAACATCTTATGTTAGGGAAAGCACAAATGGGTCGTTTTGACTCTTCTTTCCATTGTGCCTTCATTGTAAGTTAAATATCAAATTCTTTTAATTGGGCTTAGCTTTCGGGGCAAACAAATGGTTGTATTTAGTCGTATTTTATATTGGTTTTCCTTGGATTCTTACAAAATGTAGTAAAAATGATGGATTTCTTTTTTTCTAGCTGGTGCGATGACGCATGAGAAACATTTAAAGAACAACAAATACCGACAGTGGGTCAAGGCTGGCTTAGGCTTAGGTTATCTAAAAGAGGGACTTGCACAGTTTTGTGATGACATAGGAAAACAGCAACATGAAGATATTATAAAATATATTCAACAAACAAAGAATCCGAAGCCAAATGTAGCATGTGGCGTCTGTAAGATAACAACTCTCCAGCCAGACCACGTCCGAGTCTCAAAAGGGAAATGTCCCTTGGGGCAAGATAAATGTAACTGTTGCTTTCCAAATAATAAGAAACCCTGTCCAAACAACGTATGTGGTGCCATCTACGACAACATTATACGGAATCATGCATCAAATCCACCAGCACCTTTTTGGAAAAACAGTGATGCAGCTATTTGGTCCACTGACAAATGGAGCATTTGTAAATGCTTTATAAATGCTCCTGGTTACAATGACAAAGCATCGGCATTTGACACGGACTGTTCAGGGTTACTCCATGTTATAATAAATAACAAATATTTTCACAATCATATTGGATGCAATGTTACAGCACCAAACAATCTTTTTTTAGAGGTAAATGCATTTAAGTACTATGTGTTTCATTTTCGTTTTTCGTAAAAAAATTATCATTAGAGTTAAACTTTACTGCATTTAGGTGAAGATAATCTCTTTTATATAAACTAATCTTATAGTAAAGCTTAATATTCTCTGATTGTTGTTTAAATATGAGTTATCCCATTACTGCACCAAGGTGACGTTGTGTCCATATAATTATAAGACTTATGTAGTTAATTGCTAGAGAAACAACTTGCTGCAGTGAATTATGATTCAAAAATTCTTATGCAACAAATTTTTAAGTGATTAGCTATAAATGTTTTAGCGAGCCTTAAACTTGATGTTGTGTCCATAACCCTTGCTAGTTTGAATACTTCAAGTAAGTAGATGATGTTATATCTACGTAAATTTTATGCCCCGAATCTAGGGTTTTGGGACATTTAGATTTGCCCTTGTCTGTCCGTGCATGCGTCCACAAATTGATCTAACAGTAATTTAACTAGAGTCAAAACACTTTACAGGAATGTTGATCACCATGTGAACTTATGCATCTTTGGTTTCGCGTGTGAATTAATTCAGTTTACCGTGTCGAGGAGTTGCATTTGAATAATTAACTTGCTTGGCATTTTTAATTCTAATTTCTAAGAGTACTGTTAATTTTTATTGCTGAAAACAGTATAATTATGTGTTTATGTTTGACTTAGACTTGTTTTCAATTCAACAGGTCCGACATTATCGCAATAAGATTTTTCACTCAAGCAATATGGAGTTAGAAGAAACGGAGGCTAATTCCTACATTTGTGATATGATATCCGTTCTACAAGATAGTAAGGAGCTTGTGCATCACCCAGCTTCACAACAAGCTGTCCGTAAACTTCAAGATGTAAGTGCAAATAATTAATTCTTTGAATAAGTAAGTTGAAATCCTGATGAAGTTTAGTTTCGATTTAATATATTCATTCAGAACGTATTTGGGGTAATTGAAATTGTTTCATTGTTGTCAATTTGAATAACAATTGCCTTAAGTTAACTTTTATTTGTGAAGTCATAAACAACCCAGTCAAATATGAATTTTTTTTAAGTAACCGATTTTAGGTTTTTAGAAATATGTAAAAAATTAAATGCTGAAAATAGAAATGTCTGAGATATAAGATGTCTTTACCACACATCCTGTTACATGAGCGGACATCAACAGACCACAAAAATGTGTGTGTTTGGTTTGTTTACCCTCGCCACCGGAATGAACCATATGGGCGAGCACATACTTCATTTAAAACTTGCTTAATTTATATGGGAACTAATTTAATTTGTCTACAGTTTTATCGGTACATGTGTTTACGTGTGTGCCATAATTCCTTCCACAAGTTCGTATAAAAGTACGCAACCCATGATAGGAATAAGATGGGATTGCTCCCATACTAAGTTAAAATGACGTGTATTTAAAAAAAAGAACAGCATATTTAAATTACCTAAAGTTAAAAGGGCCGAGACGTTTATAAAAAGCACCGTCTCTTATAACAGGTCAACTATTATAATATTCTATGATTAAAATGACAGAAAAAAAGTCTTGTTAAAGCAATTTCAGGAACGCATTTTCCCAATTCAATGTGGCTAGTCATTAGAGGTCTAATTTGATCAGATACATACACAAAGGAGTGTCAGAATATTAGAAAACAAGTTTGTTTTAGTATGGAAATGATAGATTTTAATAATTTTCTAGTATATTTCACCCGAACACCTGCTTAGTTAAAGATGTTCTTATTGGTCTAAAAGTGATTGCCTCCTTTGTTCTCATTGGCCGAAATTTCTCTATTTACAAAATAAGGAGGTCAATCCGATTTTGTGATATTTTGCAAATTTTCTTAATTTTCGGATTGACCTATATCGACAAGTTTGTCGCGCGAACGTGATAGAGATTTAGCAATACTTGAATTTTTGGGTTATTATTGGTTTTACTCTATAATCATACTTAGTTTAACTATTAAGGAACATATGAAATGTATACAAATGAATTTTAAAGAAATAAATGGCAAAGTGCCCCCAATTACTGTAATAAATGAAATTGTATACATAGAAACATAATAAATATAACCTGTCAGAGGGGAAACCAACATTATACATGAAAATACTGAAATCTGTTTACATTTTTTACCAACCTGGGTGCCAGAGTAGAATTTAAATGTTAAATAAAATATTCCAATTAGACTTTGATGGGGACAGATATGGGGCGGGCTGAACTGAGCGTGTGGACAGGCCGTACCTTAGGGAAACTTGACCCCATGCTGTCCTAATTAAATATTTAACTGTTTCTATATAGTAGAAATACACATAGATATATTGGTAATTTGGTATTAGTTTAATACCTATTCTAATGGTGCTATTTTAAGGTGATTTGTGGTTTGTCCTTCCTTGGGTGCATATTTCCTCCATGAACAACTTTAATTGGTATTGTTCTATGTCATCTAATTATCATTTGGCTCCAAGAGAGCCAGCTTTATTAATGTTAAATATGGTATATTCATATGGGTGTATAAATTTTCCAATTACCTGCCAGTGGGTGTTGCCATCACTACTTTATTGTTCCAGTTTATTCTATTTTTGTGATAATATTTATGAGCTCCATTAGATATAAATTTTTTAAAAGTTGTAATAGTGTACAGGTCAGCCACTTTTTATTGTAAATAATCTATTGTTTCTTTTATTACATGTAATTAATCTTAAAAGTGGTCCTAAAAAGTGGCAGTTAAACGGTGAGACAACTATATATTGCTTATTTATTTACATTTTTAATATATTTTAGTACATATTTCTTAAATACTGACTGTACACTATCACTTATTTTTATTGTCCCTGGTACATGATCAATCAAAATTGGGTTGTGGCTACATGATACCTACAATGTCACATAAAGACTCCATTTTATCCCCCCTATCTATATTTTTATCCCTTGTAAATAATAAACAGCTGGTCTGTTTGTAAATATATAATATATTTTTCTTAATTTTTATTCATTCTTATATAGGGTACAATCTATAACATACTATATGTTAAAATTGAGCCCTATTCAATAATATGGAGCAAAGGCTATATAGGGCTCAATCAAGTATGAAGTCCTCTTTTATTTTGTTAATAAGAGGACTTCATCACATTAAGGATGTCTTATTCTATTTCAAAACTAGCATAACAAGTCCCTATGGATTATAATGCTGTTCTTTTTTTCTTAAAGACAACCTTAATGTTAGCAAAGACTCCATATCAGATTGTACCCATATAAACAAATATTTTATAAAACAGTTTATACGGTGATCTACTCAATGACAAAAATGGAGCATACGTCAATTCATTGAGTAGAACAAGTATGAGGCAGCTTTTTTCTTCTCTAAAAGGCAGTACTCATCACATTGTAGGTAACCAAGCAAGTTATTAATAGCCATTTTAGGTATAATTTTTCTATCTCTCTATATTCTTTTTGTATAGGTCTATAGAGAGTCTAGAATAACAATATAATTACTGAATATCATTGTTATTCTTATAAGATCATGTACCAATTGTATCAGTACTATGTGTGTGTGTTTGGGTTTGTTTACCCTCGCCACCGGAAAGAGACCATATGGGCGAGCATATACTTCATTTATAACCTTTTAAAAAGGGGGAGCTGATGTTTAATTACTTATTGTTATATCCGTACATGTGTTTATGTGCATACCATATCCCCCATGACAGGGTAGTCTCTACGTACAACCTCTGCCATGGGAGGAAGATGGGGCAATCCCATACTAAGATTAAGAATTCTAAAATTAAATTATTAAAAAGCACTTATTTTAAAATTGGCCAAGACGTTTATAGTAGTTACCGTCTTTTATAACAGGTCAATCTAATATTTAGTATAACTAAAAAAAATTAAAATATTACCTATAATTGTAGAGTTCGCATACTTGCGAAGAAGGCATGTCAGGAACGTTTTCTGACCTATACTGTAGTATATAACTTGGGCAACTACCTCTCGCGTAATGTTAATATGTTCGCGTCTTAACCTAATACATCAAAAAGTTTTGTCTAGTTAGACTACCTTGTATTTATCTTGTAAAGTTTCATTTTACGGCATTGATTATATCTTAATACATTCATCTTTTTGCTGGAGAAAATGTGAGCTCGCGGACCACGCACTAATAAATCACTCAAACCTTTATCAGAATCGGATAGATGGACCAACCACCACATATAATGATGTTAAACGAGACGAAAAGTATTTTAAATTTACGGAAATAGAAGAGAATAAACCTTTTACTATACACGATAATTGTGACCAATCATATTGTTGTATTTCTGTTAATTTCTGTTAATTTGAGAATACTTCAATTTCATTGGTTGTTGGAAAATACCATAGAAGAAAATATGATAAATTTCTTCGCGAATACCTTATTTTATGAGCCCATAATTTTATTGATGGGGACATATTTACAAAA